ACACTCACGCACGCACACACACACACAAACACACACACACACACACACACACACACACACACACACACATAGCCACAGTATACCGGTGTTTCCACAAGGTCTTATGGCTTCCGCCGTGATGTCTTCTGGTCCTCATGGGGCTTGTTCTAGGGCTGGTCTTGAGTACCTTTTCTATTTCACTGGGAAGTATTGGTGGTTCTGTTTGATCAGTAAGACAGCAAAATACGTGCTAAAAAGGGTTGGTGGTAAGACACAGCCTTGTTTTACTCCGCTATTGATGTTGAAACTGTTTGATGTGGAACCGTCGAACTGAATGGTGGCCTTCATATCTTCTTGGAATGAGATGAGCAGTAGAAGTATTGGGGGACAGCCCCCGGACAGCCAATTTATCCAAGCACCATGTACAGTCCTCATCTACTGACTGTATCAAAAGCCTTTGTCAGATCGACGAACGCAATATGTGATGGCAGTTGTTGCTCCCTGCATGTTTCTTGTCGCTGACGAATAGAAAAGATAATGTCCATTGTTGAGCGGTTTGATCTGAAACTGCATTGGCGCTCTGGTAGGCCTCTTAAATTCCTGCTAGTTTCTGAAGTCACTTCAGGATGATCCTAGCGGGGTTTTTCTAGAGATGCTTAGCTGTGAGATACCTCTGTAGTTGTTGCAATCTCCTTAGTCCCCTTTGTTTTTGTAGAGTGTTGTGATTTTGGTTTCTCTCTTGTCATGTGGAATTTTTGCTTTCAGCCAACAGTTAGTAGCTTGTAGAGATATGGGTCTCTTTGTTCTCTTTCAGCACTTCAGCAGGTATGTTGTCATTTCCTGCTGCTTTTCCGCAAGCGAGCTCATTGATTGCAGGAGAGAGTTCTTCTGTTGGTGTTGTATCAAGTTCTGACATTTCGGAGAGCTTAGGAATGGCCTCGTATAGCTGTCTATCAACATGTCGCTCCTTTAAGTAGAAGTGTAAGTCTGAATAATGTTCCAACCATCTTTCCATTAGCAACTTTTTGTCTCTGAGTTGTTCACCTTTCACAGACTTTTAAAGGTGCCACTTTGTTTGCTGTTGGTCCAATAGCAACTTTGATGTTCCTTATATTACCTATATCGCTTGCCTGTTGGATTTCTGGGCATAATAATTTGTCCCTGTACTGATTGGCGTACTTTCTGGTTTCTCTTTGAAGGTTGGATTTAGCAGCAGGTAGTTGTTGCTTTGTACTTTCTGTTGGATTTGTGCTATGTTCTATCAGGATCTTACGTTTTTTTTTTATCGAGTTGTGGTGTGAGTGTTGATGCACTGACTTCAACACAGTCCTCCCTGCAAAGGTCTTTCTATTCCAAAGATAATTGACACAGAATTCGGACGATTTTCAGCACACTTAGAGAGGAAGTCCCTGTTTCCAAATGAACTTGGCAGCTTTAGATCCCATCGAGAAACTGCAGTAGATGCCATTGCGTACAACATAATTTGTACTTTTGGAAACTTGGAAAGAAGGAGAAGTGTGTGTTATATGTGTGTACATGTGTATTTGAGAGAGAGAGAGAGAGAGAGAGAGAGAGAGA